TATATTATTTTATTTTATTTTATTTATTTATTTATTATTATTATCTTTTTTAATATATTTAATTGATCGGAAACATAACCCAATTATCACTGCTATACGTGTCAAGGGATGGTGTTTTCTTTTAACCGGGAGACTGTAGAGGCAAGGCTCCGCTTTACCGATTTACCCTCTGTCTCATCATAATTTAGTTTTTAAATGAATATGAACATACTCTTTCTCACTATCTCTAGGCTCATATAATGGTAAAGGCCAATTTACTACTGGGAAGGCTAACCTTGGTGCCCGTGTTTTTTCATGAGACCAGATTATTTTTTATATAAAAAAATAATATTTAGACATTGAAAATGAGGAATGGGTAAAATTTCTAATCAAGGCTAAAACAATATTAGGATAACATGTGCTGCTCATAATAGAAGAGAAGAGAGTGAACAATAAAATTAAACAATTAAAAAAAATTGAGGCTAAAATACTCTAATATCCCTAACCCTAATCACTTAGATTTCCTGGATTCAAAGACTCATGTATAATTTAACTATTTATAAAAAAACAAAAAAAATATTAAGACACCCTTACCTTGCTGTGTTAATTCTTTTATCCTTTGAGATATTTTTAATATTTTATTGTAGTTAAAAATATTAAATAAATAAAAATTGAAAATACAAAAATTCCCTTGCTTCATGCCAAACGATTTTTTTTTTAAGGTTCTAAAATTTACTGAATTATTATAGTGAATAATAAATTATTTATATGATTAAAAAAAATTTAATTATTATTATTACCATTACTTAATAGCCGTGTTTTATTACTTTAAATTTTTGACAGGAGGTGGAAGCTAAGGTTGTGCGTCCTCTACTTTCATTTTGACCTGCCAGTTGACCATCATTTCCTCCTTCCAGCTACTCCCTTTCTTCCTTTGGCCACCTGACATCTCCGTTTGCTTGTTGATTATTTTTTTTATGATAGCCATGAATTTTTCATCGAAATTATAATAGATGGCACCAGCTACTGATGTTGGTACCTTTAGTGCAATCTTTTTAAGGTTGTTTGGAGTTAATTGTACTGTAATTAAATTTGATTGTAATATTTAATTTAAATTTAATTAATAAATAAGTTGAGTTTACATATTTAAAAGAGATAAAACTCAATTAATTTTATTTTTTATATTACTTTTATTAAATTCATCTTATTTCTTTAAAGGTCTTAAAAAAATTAGAAGAGTATTATGAAAAAGTTAGTTTTAATATCAAATTTCTCCTATTAGAATTATAAATCAAAGAGATTCATCTTTTATTTATTTTTATTTTATAGTATTTTTAGATATTAAATTCAATTTCAAATTCAATTTTTAACACTCAATAAATTAAAAACATGCTGTTATGAATCCTATCAGTACAAGAACAAGTCATGTTGTGTCGTGTAAATATGCCACATGTTAGTTATTGCTGCCAGTCCGACTAGAATTAGTTTTTTCTCACCAAATTTATTTGTATTTTACTATGAGAAAATGAATAAATATAAATAAAAATATTAAGAGAATATTTTTATTAATAAATTAGTGACAAATTTTACCAACAAAGTAATTCCCTTAATATTTGCTGAGAAAATTACAATGAAAAAAATAATTAAAAAAACAAAAAAATAATGATGTGCTATTTTTATCAATAGAAATATCAACGAAATAAATTTAGTAAATTATAAATACTGTTTATCATGTTAATTACAAAAAAAATTATCAACAACAAATTCCATTGTTATTTTTCAAAAAGCTCTTAAACTATTTACATTCTAATTTCTTTACTAACAAAATCACCAACGATTTGAAAAGTTGTCGGTATTATTTGATGGTTTTCTAAAATTTTTTGATTAAATTAAAATTTTAAATTAAATAATAAAAACGAAATCACTAACGGATTGAAACGTCGTTGGTGTTATTTGATAGTTTTCTAAAAAATTTCAATTAAATTAAAATTTTAAAATAAATATTACAGACACCGACATATTAAAAAATCTTCAGTAATATTTGACGGTTTCTAAATTTTTTTTATTAAATTAAAATTTTAAATTAAATATTATAGACAAAATCACTGATGGAATGGTTAAACATATTAATATTTAATTATTTATCCGTAAAACCAACTATAAAACATCAAAATAAAAAACCTACAATCCCTAATTTCACAACAGACAAGACTATTTTCTTCTTCTATTTTATATGTAAAAAACATCAATATTCATTTTTCTCTCTTTTCTTCTCCCCTTAACTTCTTTTCTTTTCCTCCATGTTTGGGTATGTATTCTTTTCCTTTCTTTTTTTTCTTCTTAGTTATTTTTATCAATATACTTTATGAATTTTTCCCCTTCTTTTTAGCTTCATTTACAACCATACTAAGATAAGATTTTTTTGTTTTGTTTTTTTAACTATATTTGTTTATTTTATTTTATTTTTAATTGTTTTTGTTCTTAATAATTGTATGAATATTGTTGCAAGATTTTTTTCATATGAGATTAATTTTTAGTTTATTTATTTATAGGATTTTAAAATTTTTAGCAATCACAACTTTATTTTTTTTCATATGAATTTTTTTAGTTGAATTTATTTTTTCATGTTATTTATTTGTTGCAAATTTGTTTGAGTTATTTTTTTCTTCTTTTTTTAAGCATTTTGAGTATTATAGAGTGTTAACTTATATTAATTTAATTATTTTATAGTTTTGTAAAATAATTTTTTTAAAAATATTTTTACATAATTATTGACAGAATTACGTATGGTATTTTTTTCAAAATAAATACTAACAAAATGAAGCTTTTCATATGAATTTTTTTAGTTGAATTTATTTTTTCATGTTATTTATTTATTGCAAATTTGTTTGAGTTATTTTTTTTCTTCTTTTCAAGTGTTTTGAGTATTATAGAGTGTTGATTTATATTAATTTAATTATTTTATAGTTTTATAAACTATTTTTTAAAAAAATATTTTTAAATAATTATTGACAGAATTACATATGGTATTTTTTCAAAGAAAATATTGATAAAATAAAGTAGATAAATTTTTTTATGCACTTTTTTCATTTACTAATTTTTTTTATGCACTTTTTTCATTAGTAAATCAATCAATACTAATATTTTTTTATTACTAATAAAAAAATTACTAACAAAGCATTTCTATCAATGATTTAATTAGTAAATTAATTACTAATAGAATAATAATATAAATACAAATGAAAAATTCTATCAAAAAATATAAAAATTGTGGTATTGTTTTGCATATAATCTACAGTGTTTCACACATACAAGAGATTGTTCCCAATCTATTATTTGTTATAGACAAGTGTAAATAATACAAGCAAATAAAAAAAATCAAAAGCACAAGTATTAAAGGAAAATTTCTTGTTTCATGTGTGCTATCGTTGTCCAATATATGTTGTGTTGTCATTATTCCAACAATGTTTTCATTAGGATGTCCTTTTGTTTAGGCCTACGACACTGAATTGTAACAATATAAAGTTTTTACTATTTATTTTTATACTATTTATCAAGATATAAAATATTGTAAATTAAAGTAATGTAATGAAATGATTATTCTTGTTAAAGAAACTTGCTAGGAATAGGTAGGAGTAATGTTATCTTTTTTATAAGATATATTTGAGGTTGAAAGAATATTCGAAGACAATTGAAATGACATGATTGACATATATCTAGTACTAAGATTAAACATGTAGCTAGACCCTAGCTTTAAGAGCTAGATTCGCGTGCCGGGTTTACAAACCCTGTAAAAATTCAAATTATATATTTTCTTTAAAATAATCAATGTTTTTATGTTTATGAATTTATTATTCTTTCAATATAAATTATATTATTATTATTATTTTTATTATTGTTATTATTATTTTGATTTTTCAAGAAAACTTGGATTAGACATGTTTATCAAGTAAAAAATTATTTATAAATAAAATATAAATAATTTATAAATAACAAACCATCACAAAAATTTAATTAAATGTTTTATATCTAAATTTAAAACATATCTTTCCATTAAAATATTTTATATTTTATATTTATAAATTTATTATTTCTCCAATAAAAATTCTATAAGGATCCACACCCCTAAATTTGCCTAGGTTTGATCCTCGAGCCTGGGGTCTACACATCTTGCAGGGGCTGCAAACTCGTGCCCGGAGTCTGTACACCCCTGCAGAGACTATAGACCCGGGCCTAAAAGAGATGCTTGTCTCGGGTTGCTGGTTAGCTTTTGTTTTTAATAAATTTAAAAATAATATTATTACTATCAAGAAAAAACCATATTTTTAATTTTAAAGAATTAAAAATTATAAAAATTTAGATATATAAATTTAATAATATAAATTTAATTAATATTATTAAATTTAAATATTATTACTATAAAAAAAACATAGATTTAATTTAAATGCATTTTACACATATCCAACATATCTGATTTTTTTTAATATTTTTTTTATAAAAAGTAAAGTTCATCCGTAGTATATATATCGTGGGCTAGTTTACTAGTTTCTTCTATAGTTTGAGAATACGTTTAATGTCAAATAAAAAAAAATATCGGAGAACAACGTTTTCCATGTCAATTGCTTAGGCGTGATCAAAGTGTTTTTGACGAGGACCGTGTGATGCAACTAGTTACACCCGACCAGGTCGCACAAAAGATACATTTCTCCTACGCCTTTCGCGTCTTAATCCCATTATCTTACCCGTACCAAACACAATAGATAATAATAATTTATTTATTTTTATGTTTTAAAAATATTTTTAATATTTTTTATTTCAAATTAAAATTTTAATGTTTTCTTATACACCAACATCAAAATAAACTTAAAAAAATACAAAATATTTTAATAAAAAATATTTTCACTATCCTTCCAAACACCCTAAAATAAATAAAAAAAGAGAAAAAATTAAGATTAAAAATAAGGAAACGCTTAAATAAAATAAACCCCCCCCCCCCCCAAACACCCCCCCCCCCCCCCCCCCTTTTTCCTTCCTCCTCTTGTTTTATTGTGCTGTTTGGCTCGCGCAATAATCAGAGGGAAAGAAAGAGAGACAGGGAGCAGAAAGTAGTGCTAAAAAGGCCAAATCGACCTCGACCTCTCTATCTTTTGCAGCTACGGCTTTCTTTCACTCTCTCGATCAGCCAATTTCTTCTTTCTGGCGGTTATTGCGGGCTCACCATGAACGAGAAGGCCAACGTCTCTAAAGAGCTCAATGCAAGGCACAGAAAGGTTAGTCTTCTTTTCTTGATGGAAATCTCTATCGTATTTTTGCTTTAATCTCGATTTCTTTTTTATTCTTATGATTATGAATTAAGTGGCGATAGATTTGATCTGATGTGTCTTGCGATTTTAGATTGGATAGATGATTAATTAGATAATTGATATTTATTTCTGCTTGATTTTACATTTGATCTAATATTTTTGGCATCGATGAAGTATGTCTTGATCATTGCGATGGTTGTTATTCGAATTAATGGTGATTGTGTTAATTTTTTGGAGTTTAACCTTTTAAGGATGCGAATTTCAAGTTTTAGATTGACAGCTATTTATATTTGATATGATGCGATTCATTTGCATTATTGCTGGTTAGTTATATAATAACTTTAGATCAAAGTAGAAGATTAAAGTTGCATTTGCTCTGAACTATATATCCTGGTGGTGAAATTTCTGTCTAATTCGGAATGAAGAACAAAGAAATTTTCTCAACATTCTTGCATTTTGTAATTATTAACAGAGGCTGAACTATGTCAATGTCCTTGACTGTTTTGCTGCTTGTGATTTGTTTTCTTCTCTAATGCTAAATATAGGTATTTCTTGTTCATCTTTCACGAGTGCTGATTTGGCATTATGGAATTAGGAGGGATTGAATTTCTTCAACCTTAGAATTTGTTTGGATTTCGAGTGCATCAACTACAGGGATTATATGCTGTTTAGGTAATTTGTGTTAAATGGGATGGAGTGCTCATTTTATGATCGAATCTGTTACCTTTATGGTACGCATAATCTGCCAACTTGGCAGTCTGATTCTTTTGTTTTTGGGGAACAATTGTGAATTGAGCATTTTGGGATTAAATATTAGTTTTTGTATAATCAGCTGGAAATGTGATTTCTTCCTGATATTTGATTCATAGTTGCACCATGGAGTTTTCTAGAGTCTTTATTGATTTCCATCTGACCTCTTGTATCATGCATTCCATTCTTATAGTGATTTTTTGAACCTCATGGCAAGGCATTGCTACATTTGATATATGTCAAAGTTTAGACCTTATGACTGCCATTGGGGCTAACTGCATGTGATGCTGTTGGTCATTGAAGTGGACTATGATTTTTGTTAATACTTTTTTTTTGGCTTTGTTGTTTTCTGCATTCTAAATGTTTTTACTTTATGAATTCTAGTATCAATACTATTTGTTCCGATTTTATTTCTTAATAATGTATTGTGTTGATTTACTTCCATCTTTTCTGTTTGTGCATATGCAGATATTGGAAGGACTCCTGAAATTGCCCGAGAATAGGGAATGTGCTGACTGCAAAGCCAAGTATGTACTGAGAAGAATATGAAGATGTGATACAATTAGCATAATAGTAAACAATTAGCAACATAAACATAAAAAATTACTCTAAAGTCATGGATCTTCTTAAGTGGCTGGATACTGTTAAGTTTTTTTGTTGCTTTACAATCTGTTTGAGCTACTGAGTTTGACCTGTTTCCGTTGCAGAGGTCCAAGATGGGCAAGTGTAAATTTGGGTATCTTTATTTGCATGCAATGTTCAGGGATCCACAGAAGTCTTGGGGTACACATATCAAAGGTGACAAACTGCTTTGTAATCCAATTAAGCATCTTTAACAGAAGTTTAAGATAATTAAAAAAAAAAATGGGCATAAAGGAGGAATTTTAGATGAGACTTTCAAGGTCTTCTATGAAGAGTTGCTTTGTGAAAAACAATGAAGAAATAGTTTTTGTGTTAGCCTCTTTTGATTACAGAAACAGCAAATTGAAAGAAAAATGGTTTGGTGATTATTTACTATTATGAGATTAATGACACGCTGTCCATTTTCTTCTTCTTGGATGTTCATGGTAACCAGGCCTACTGTTGGTTGATCAGTAAAGTTATATCTTACTGTGTCTATAACTTTTGAATTTGATAATTAATTTTCCACTTGGAGATGCTGTTTATTAGACATCAAACTACAATTATCCTTGAGGATATTCTGACTCTTGATTGGTTCTCTTCTTCAGGTTCGATCTGCAACCCTTGACACATGGCTTCCAGAGCAGGTTGCATTCATTCAATGTAAGCTCATTGGCTTGTTCCAAACTTGTGATCTATTCTGATCGATTTTCATTTACTTTTGAGGTTAATAAATAGCCTGTTTTGTGCTGTTTTTTTTTTTTTTTTTTTTTAGCAATGGGAAATGAGAGAGCAAATAGTTATTGGGAAGCAGACCTACCACCGAACTACGACAGAGTTGGAATCGAGAATTTCATTCGTGCAAAGTATGTCTATAGTTAGAACCCTATTATTAGCAAGTTTTCTCAATCCTTTTTGTTTGGTCATTCTCTGTGTGTCTATATGATTGCAGTGTGCATAATTGTTACTCTTTTTCTCAGGTATGAAGAGAAGAGATGGGTCTCTAAAGATGGAAAACCGCAATCTCCTTCTAGTGGGAGGGATGAAAGGTCTTCTTTGCATTGGCAGAGACCTGCTGAAAGAAGTGGGCATGGACACACCAGCAGTTCTGATAATTTGTTTGAGGAAAGAAAGAATTTTCAAGTATCAAATTCGAAAAACAGTGCTCCTGCTACAAGAATAAGTTTTCCTGCTCCTCCTAGGGCATTTGAGCAGGTATGTTGATTTTTACCTTTTGAGTTTGAGTTGGGTTTTCCTGTATTCAAAGAATGTGTAGTGGACTACTTGATCATTTCTTTCCTTTGTTTATGTTTGAAAAGAAAGCTTCAATAAATACTAAGACCTAAGAGCATCCACATCCATGTTCTTTACTTTTTAGCTAAATCCTAGCTAAAATAGCTAGAAAGCCATTTAGCTAGCTCTGTAAAAAATGCGATCACATCCATGCTCTCTAAAATAAAGAGTCATGAATTTATTTATTTTTTGTTATTCAAATTATATGTGAGATGGATGTTCAAGTGTATGTTATTTCTTGTGTTTGATTGCTTTCAAATTATGTTAATGAATATTCTAATTATTTAGTAACACTTTTGAAAATTAATTCTTTTAATATAGTGGAAATTAAAAATAATAAAAAGAAAATGCATATACTTAAAAAAGAAGAAGAAAATTTAAACAATCCCTACTAATTAAAATAACTTTTACATCATTTTACTAATATCTCCATTTGACGCATCTCATAATATTCAACCAATGTCGAGGCATGCTTGTTGTATCTATCAACATTATTGTCTCTTCATCTTGTTGTTTCAATAAAAGTTCTTGCATAATAACAATCCTGCCTCTTTCCGTCTTTGCCTTGACATGTTTTGCCTTTACTTTCTCTTTCTCTAAAGCATATGATTTTTCAAAATATTCCATCTTCTTATGTTCCATGTAATTTTATATTCTTTGTAATCCTTGAAGATTGATCAAACGTGAGAAATTGTGCTATCCTCGTCTTTTTTTAACTTGTTTCTTTGCCGCCTTTCTACCTATCAGTCTCTCCATATTGTCATTGTCACCAAGTACAACATCATCTTCATCTAAGTTGATTGAACTTTGAGTAAAGGGAGAATGAGTTGCGGGGGTTGCTGACCATCAATCCTACATTTATTGCACTATGGAGAAAAATATTAGCTCCCAATTCACGGAAACTGACCATCAAACACATCAAATAGTTATTTCTTTCACGTTTCATTGACTCTCTGTTTCATTGCACTTGCACATCAAACAGTTATATTCTTTCATTAATGAATGAGCAAAACAAGTTGATCTGATTCTAGAAAAATATGGAAATTCATCGGAACCATCAAATTTAGTTAGCATCTTCAATGTATTAATCTACCTATTTACATGCATTTGGAAAGAACTGGACCTTGATTTTTATTTATTCTTTTTTATCTGTACCACAACTAAAATTCCTTGACAACCAACCGCAAGTTCTTCTTTTTTGAACACACAAAGTACGCACAACTAAAATCCCAATGCAACCATAAATCTATCTAGTGTAAAATGAATCTTCAAAGACAACATACAAACTAGTACTCACAGGGATGCCATGTTCAATGCATGTATGCCTTAACTGTCTACTACTTTTTGTACAAGAAAATCTGATTTTAAGTGTCAATTCATCTGATTAATAGATGCTTTATAGGGCCCTTCTACAAGTTGCTCTAAACATGAGCATTTTTAAAACTATATTGACGTTTTGGAACATACAGTTTTTTGAGCATCTTTAATTTCTTCAGAAGCAAATGCAACTTGATCAGGGTTGTATGTCTGTTTATACAGCATGTCACCCTAGCATGAACGAAGGGTTTAAGGATCACATATTCTATTAAGGAAATTGACAATATACAAATCAAGCTGTATAGCATCACCCTAGCATCAAACTGTATTAGCAACCTGATTACGGATCACATGACAGTTTTGGAAGTTACAGAAAATAGGGAAATAAAAAATGGGACTTTTCCAGTAAATAGGCTCTAAATAAAAAATTTGAACACACATTTGAATCCTAAGCTCACAATGGTTTTGATTTCCAAAAAAAAAAAGGGGGCATTTCAAATATGTGTATGACAAGGATAGCTGTGTGAGGAAAAATGGAGAGGTATGACTAGCACAATTTGTTCATATGCAAAAATGAAATATCAAAAGAAACAAAATGATGGGTGTCTGGTATTGCATCAACTTTTTAATCTTCATCTCTGCAAAATTAGAAAAGAAAATCTGACCAGGAGAAGAAGAGAAAAAAGCTGTAATGTAATTTCTTCAGAAATTCTTATGATTTCACATACAGCTAAAGAAAAAAGGATTCGACTTGGTGGCTGGAAATGAGTTTGCAGAAAACCCAGGTAATCTTGCATAGAACTCCTATGCAGTGACAGCTAGGAATATCACACCCTCACAAATGCCTCACTGGCTGCTGAAACTTGTGTATTGCTCTCATTCATTTAAAGTTGCTAGACCATGCAACAAAGGCAATGCTTGAAGAAAGTTGCAATACTGTAAAAAAATTATGTCAATGTTGCTCTCAGTAAAATTCAAAGTGATTTTTGCTATCTATTACAATTTAGCCACTCATTCAAAGAATATCTACAACATACCGGGGCCATTGAACTTTTTTGCCCATGGAATTCAGACGAATCAAAGAAAAATATGTACCAGTTTTTTTGTCTCTTTGCCTCTTTATTATAAAAACAATCCATAGAAAGAACAGACTGAGGCCTGGGCAATTCTGTAAAGGACTCAGAATTTGTGTCTTGCAGCTGAGCATTATCTGCATGTTTAGAACCATAGACATCATCTTCATCCTCTTCATCATTCGCAACCTAAAAAATTCAACATACAGAAAATGCAGATTAACACAAACCCAACAACGAAAATAATAAAAAAATCACAACATCAGAAATCAAGAATCTCATGTGGAATACCATGTCCCTGAAAGAAAATCGGCAACCCAGTTTTAACACATGGACTGTCCAAGTACTGTTTAATTCAATTACTGGTTGTGCTTCATACACTATATAGATTGATGTGCAAAATGGGATCTAATGAAGTGTAAGCATCTAGGATTGCTAATTACATTCGACATCACAAACCCAGATTATAAGAACCATGAGGAAACCAAATTTAGGTTGCAAAACAGACAAACATGAATGAAGGCACAAACCGTTTTAGCTAATGCCCTTGCAGAAGCAGATCTTTAAGAGGAAGAATCAAGAAGCAGCTAAAGAGAGGGGGAGAGAAGCAAGAGGGAGAGAGATGCGGAGTTGTACCATGTTGGCTGCACCTTCTGCCTTGTCGAAGCTGGAGATTTGTTAATTTGGTAGCTCTAGCAGAGAAGAGGCAGAGGCTTTGAAATCCATAGCAATCAACAAAAAAATAACCAAACAAATTTCCTATTTTTAACTGTAACTAGAAGTTGCAGAAGACACAGAGAAGAATGACAGCAACACCAACAAATTCCTGCGAATCACTTCTTCCTTTTCACCACCACTGCATCACCACAATTGGAGAGTGCTACAATATACACTATATATAGCGAGCACTGTTTACAAAGCCAGAATAGCAAGTGCTTTGAGGCACAACAATGCTATGGGTAAAACATATGTTTTCTAGCTATTATAGCTAGGGAGTTCAATTGGAGCATGGATGTGGATGCTCAAGGGTATAAAAATCTTGTTAGGAAGAAAAGGTTTCGATAAGTTAAAATCTATCTCCAGAAGCATAACCAATCAGAATAACCCAATGTTTATATAAAATCAAATTATGCTATCTCTAAATCATTTTGATCTAGTTTCCTGTCTCTTATGCAATGACTACTGGTTTGAGGGATAAATGCATGATTCTCATTGTTTCCTCACTTTGCACTCATCTCACATCTTATTGCTTTTTCTTTTTTCATTACCACCTATAATGTTCCTAGATGCATCATTATTTGATCATAAGATATTTTTTCACAAACAGGTCACTGCTCCTGCAAAGCCTCAACAGGTTGTTGAAAAAGCTGAACCAATGGCGGAGGCTACTGAAGCTGCAAAGAAGGTTGCAGATTCTGCTCCAGCTGTCTCTCCACCCAAAGTTGATTTTGCTACTGACCTTTTCGACTTGCTCTCAATGGATGGCCCTACTGAAAATGGCTTGGAGGCAGCTGCTAATGATGATAACAGCTGGGCAGGTTTTCAATGTATGTTTTCATTTGTTTAGGAAATCATTACTTACCATGACCTTTTACGTGTAATTTGCTGATTTTTTCTTTTTCAGACATGCACACACATAAATCGTGATTTTTGTTAACAATGTGGACTCTTCCTAAATTTGCAGCTGCAGCAGTTGCTGAAGAAGCATCAACAACTGGAAATACTGGTCCAACTAAAGCAGTAGAAAATGATACCCAGTCTGTTTCTGGAATTGAGGATTTATTTAAAGATTCACCTTCTTTAGCAACCCCTTCAGTCTTGGAGAAACCCCAGAAAGATGTAAAAAATGATATAATGAGCCTTTTTGAGAAGGTATGTGCTTTGGCATCATCATTTATGCATCTTTTGAACTTTTCCTCAAAACTTTGTTTGGTGATTTATTAGATTCTAACTGGATGATCAGATTTCTTGATCAAATCTATCACCTCCGTAAAAAACCAACATAGTTTGAGTTTGCACTGGAGTTCAACTTTGTGGAATTAATGTGGAATTGAAATATTATCTGATGATTTTTTTGCAAAATTTTATAGTCCAATATGGCATCACCGTTTGCGATGCATCAACAACAACTTGCTATGCTGGCACAACAGCAACTTCTTATGGCCGCTGCAGCAAAATCTGCTGGTGGGGACCCAAAAGCGATAAACCAACAGCAACTTGCTATTCTGGCACAGCAACAGCAACTTCTTATGGCTGCTGCAGCAAAATCTGTTGGCGGGGACCCAAAAGCAATGAGTCAACAGCAACTTGCTATACTGGCCCAGCAACAGCAACTTCTTATGGCCACTGCAGCAAAATCTGCTGGTGGGGACCAAAAACTTTCAGGCAGTATTCAACAGCAAGGGCCAAATGGTATTAGCATACCCGCACAAAACTGGCCAAATATTGGATACCAAATCCCTGGTTTGATGATGCCAGTAGCTGGGCAGGGTGACTTACAGAAACTTAAGCAGGTTCATATTATGGAATGGATTGCTTTCATTTTTGCCGATACTTAATTAGCTTAATTCAGTAGTTTTCTGATGTTTTTTTTACCTGGGCTAGACTGCTGACATCAGACTGACACATCCTGGGGGAAGCTCTGTACCATATCCAACATCTAGGTGATTTTTTTCCCCACTCTTCTGTGGTGTTGATGAATATATATAAACTGTGATCGTGCTTTGAACTCTGTTGAAACTGAAACCATGAATTTTATAACCTTTTTCCTTTCCCTTTTATTTTTTTATTTTTTATTTTTTTGTTGGTGTTTGTGTGGGGTTTGGGGAGGGCCCCCCGTCAGCTCTTAATTTGTTTGATCAGCTTGTTTGCGTTGAGTCAAGTTTCAGATAGTATTAGACTGCCAGAGAATATTTATAACATGCATATCTTGTTATGTGCATAGTAGCTTCCTTTTATTTTGGCAGAAGTCCAACAATCATTCCTCAATTGGTAAAACTGGGCTTGCTTTTGAATTTGTGGTCTGAAAGTAGACAATTGAAAAATCAAATGGCAATTTTTTTCATCTTAATCTCTGTATGCTATCTTCCCTCCCCACTTTTCCGTGTGCATGTCTATATCTTCCTGCTTGAGTTTGGTCCTCAGTCTTCCATTGCACGAGGTATAAAATTGCTAATTACCCAATTGTTTCCAATTATAACATTCCATGAAGAAATTCACGTAGTGTTGTGGAGTGAGGATGATTGAAGTGAGAAAGCTATAGCATAAGCTTGTTGCTGCACTTCTTCTTCCCCCCTCCCTTTTGTTACTTAACAGGATGGAAGCTCAGAGCCACTTGAAAAGCACTGCAGTTTCAAGTTTTACGTGAGCACATGTATTCCTGTTTTATAGCTGCATAGAGTGTAAAATCCTCAGACTGTTATTGTATTTTCTATGTTAGTAAAATGATGTTGCCATCATAAAAACTTAAAAGAATGATTAGAAATGCTGGAATTTGAAAGTTTTTTACAAGTACACTTTGAATTCATATCCATTGATGCTTCTCTTTTCCACTTTTAAAATCTGTTCTCCCGTCTAGATTTTGAGGTATTTTCTGCACTCATATTCTTACCGCTGGTGCTTGCAGCCTTTATGACATTGAGCAAGTTACCCCTGCTAATGGTGGAACAAACAATGGAGTCGGTAAACCTCAATCGTCATCCTCGGTCTCATCTGGTACTTCAACACCAGCCGGAAAGGATTATGACTTCTCCTCTTTAATGCAAGGCATGTTCTCAAAGCATTGAGTGCCATCGGGAGTTGAAGTTGGCTGCATCATACAATACTAAAATAGTTGCATTACAAGAAAATAGAACTTCAAAGATTTTGTTTTTCCCTTCTGGATTTGCGATTGTAAACTATTCTGTAGAAGCAGTTCCAGTTTTTCCTTCATATTTCGTTGATGGTTCTTTGTACGAGTATTCAGAGTAATAAAGATGGGCTCAGATTGATTGTTATTTTCCCCTTTCCCTTTTCTCCCCATTGTGCAAACTCCGAACTGAACATCAGAAAGCCATCTTGGTTGAATTTATTGTCTTAAAATGTAGGTGTTCTTCTGCTCCAAAACGTGTTGGTAGCCACGATCTAGGCAGTGTTTAGGAACTTAGTTGAATTTATGTTTTTAAAAAAATTAATTTTTTTTTATTTTTTATTTTTTTTAAATTTAATATGATTTATATGTTTTGATGTTAAAAATAATTTTTAAAACGTTTTAATGTTAAAATTAATTTTTAAAAAATAAAAAAAATTATTGTTATATTTTAACATAAAAAATTATTTGAAAAACAAATGTTACTATATTGTTAAATATATTCTTAAAAAAACAAACGTTACTATATTGTTAAATATATTCTTAAAAATTATAATTTTATAATTTCTATAAAGAAGGCATTTCTATTTACTCTTTTATTTGAATAGATTATTACATAGCAATATTAAGCATTGATAGTGTTTATATTTTTATTTTTACGGATTGATATTAAAATGATAGTCATTTTTAAGCTGTACCAATATATGCAAGTGATTTATATATATTTGTTTTTCTAATCTAATTCTCAAAATTATTTGTTCGCTTATAAGTAAAAAGAAAAGTGGCAACTTTTTATTATACCAATGAACGTTATGGCTTCCAAATTTAAAAATAGTAGCATTTTAAAGTTGCAAGGATATGGTTCATGGTTGCTCCTTTTTAGAGCTAAAGTCTAATCAGTTCAATGGAAGGAGGGAAAAGATATCTAAATTAGCAAGGGCCAGCTACACTGCCGATAAAAAGACGGAATTGTTTTTTTTATATATATATTATTATTAAATCTATTCTGGTCACACGTGGAAATTTTTGACATGATTTATGATTTTTGTTTGGTTTAAATTTTAAATTAATTTATGTGAAAATTATGGTGATGTGACCTAGTAAATTTTTTGGGTTTAAAAAAAATTAAAATAATTGATAAAAATATTATTTATTTTTATTTTTTAAAAAATATTTTTAAAAAAAAATATTAAAATATTGACATATTGAATGTATAAAGTCTTTATGACTTCACCTGCTGCCAAGTCTATAATATGTATCATGAATTTTACTGAGTTTAATAATTTTTTAAAATAATTTTTTATTTAATTATATAATAAAAATAAATATTTACAAAATTAAATACTAATCAAATATTATAATATTTATTTAAGCAATATTTTTATAAAAACAAACCAAAACAAACCATGAACAATAATTAAAAAAATAGGCTTGGGTGGCTATTGTGTCTGGGATTTGTTCTATTTGTTTTTTTTTTAAAGGTCTATTCCTAATTTTTATTTTTAATAAAAATAGTAGGTGACAAGTCACTTAATACTCTCTAGAATCCAATTATTATTGTGATGGATAAAAATTTACAAGAGAATTTTTTGAATAACTTATTTTTATTCAAAATACTTCATAAACACTATACAATTAATCTTAAATCACTTAACAACCTCGTGACACTCCAAAATCATCTAAAAAATAAAAATCAACCAAACAGATCTCTTTTTGGAAGCATGCTTAGACACAAAACATGCAATAATCAAACTACTCTAGTCGATTGATATTGCTTGATATAAAAAATAGTGAGTTTTGCTCTGATTGCTGTTTCTAGGTTATTTTCTCTTTTATTTTTTTGAAACCCAAAGATTAAAAAAAAAATTGGATCAAAATAAAAAAATGTTACTAATATGAGATTAGTTATGTATTTTCTTTGTTTTTTAATTTTCATCCTTTATCTTTTAATTTTATGTTTTTACCATAATTTCAATTTTAATTTCATTTAACTAGGCTATAAAAAAATGAATTGAAAAAAACAGAAGAAATAATGTGATTCTACTGTTTTTTTTTTTTTTAAATTAACATGGGTGTCCAGATCAGCTTGCGCGTACCACAATTAATCTCACGAGCTCTGAAGTTAACGACCATGTAAGTCTTCAGTGGTCATCATATGAGCAACCAAGGACCCGAACCTGAGACCATAGAGGGAACAAACCCCTTAGTCCCAAGTTTTTACCATTTGGCCACCACGGTTAATGATTCTACTGTTTTTGAACAAACGACTGCAGGAGATTTGTTTGGTTAAAAAGTGCACAAGCAGGATCTAATAGCCTCTCATCGCACACATGGATGATCTAACTGACTGAGAAATTTGGTCATCTCCAAAAAAATAATAAAAAAAAAAAAAAATCAAGATAATCATAAAAACTAATTAATATTGCAATTCACTAATTCTTGAAAGATGAGAAATAAAAATAAAAGAAAAGTAGATCCAAAGATCATTTTATTGGAATGCTTAACAGGAAAAACTACTTCACATCACCAATTTCTCTTTTTCCTACAATTATTGTTCTTGGAGCAAAGCTGAATACACAGCTCGCCATCCCTCCTGCGTAGGGTGCACTGTGTCCCAAAAAAATGTAGATTCAGGATCATCACAAACTACATACTTTTTCGCTCCATTCGCATCTACACTTCCACAGCCATAATCAGTGGATATACCAGTGCAACATGGCTTCAACGGATTCCCGAACTTCGAACTTCCTGAGCAGGGCAATAAAAGAAACGGAAGAAGAAGAAGAGCTACGGTCAAGAGTAGAGCTTGAAAATATCTTAGACTGAGACTATGATATTGCAAGCCCGTTTAATTAGACGCCAAGCAGGTTTGCTATGTACTAATTGTTTCATGTAATAACTGAAAAAATAAAGAAACAAACCTGGATTTTTTCCTTGGCTTTTGAAAGCATCCATGAATGCCTTGTAGAGATCAAGAATGGCAAACGTAGAATCCTTAGTCTCATTATTCAACTTAGTGACTGCTTGTTGCAACAAGAGGTTGTGGAAACCGACAAGGTCGTTTTCGGTTCCGTTACATTGCTGGAATGAGGACGTGAAGGTGCTGCGGGGAAGACACCCCAGAGGTTGGAGGGCGGTGACAACCACTTTGTTCACTCCCATGCCATGAATGCGTTTCATGTTCATAACTAGTTGATTCACTACTTTTATAATGAAAGGTTGCCAGCCCTACCATAGTGAAAAGAAATTAATTAAGATCACACACTCCATTGTCTAGTGTTGAAGGCATCTATTGATTAGAGAGGCAAACGAAACAAATTTTTCATCCTGAATTTCCATTTATGTTTGAATCGTTGGAGCCCATGCTTCCAGAAAAAAAAAATTAATACAAAACTAACATGATGTAACATCATCATCTTGAACAAATACGTGTGAATGAATGAATTCGAGAGTAGAATACAGAAATAAGAAGAAAACAGAGGAGTACGGATGATCGAATGTTACCTGTGGTGAGCCGTTTGTGGTAGCATAAGTTGAATAGTCATTACCAGCGACGGAAACAAGGGCCATGGAGGAACATAGGTCTGATCTAGAGTAGATTTTCTTATGGATGATATCTTGGAAAAAATCAATCTGTGTGGTCATGTTCGGATCTGGAGCCAAGGTAGGGAACACCCCAGTGCCTCCATATGCGAAATTCATCCCGTTTTTCCAGTGCTCGATCCCCACATTTCTCCATCTGTATGGGATCGGAGACTTGATTCCGAGAGACTTAGCTGCATATATATATAGTTTTTAACGTTAATTAAATTAAGCTTCGTACTTGCAGTTTCTCTGTTCCTTTTCCTCTTTCGCAAATAAGAAAACTAAAAAGGAAAGAAAACATGAGATTGGCGAAAGAACTAAAATAATATGGATGGATTTGAAAAACAAAGGGATCAAACCGACGGATCCTAAAACCAGGGACTAATCAATTCATTTTCTTAAAATACAAGGATTAAGTAAATACCTAAACCTTAAATTGCAAGAACTCGTTGTCACTTGTAAAGAGTGCTGAAGTGTACAATGTTGTCGTATGGGCAACAAGTAGTTTCAATAATTGCAGCGAAGTAACTATCAACATGAATAAATAAAAAACCAAAAAGGAAACTATTAAGACGGTAGTGGTGGGGTAAAGATGGATGATGGGAGCTGAGACAATGGAAAGGAAGATAGAAGAACCTTTCGAAAGTACTGAAACAAGATTTTTTGTTTTTATTTTTAAAGTTAATCCGATAATGAAGCATTTTACAGCAAAAAAAAAAGTAGCAGAGTCAGTAGTGATCGTCACAAGACAAGACGATAAAATAGTGGGAAAACCCCACCACTAAAATATAATTATACATCTACAAGACTAAAAGCAAAGTAAAGCTGATTACATGGAGACACCGAGGAAAGTAAAGCTAAAGGTGAGAACACATCATTAGACAGAGGAATCCAGAGACACCACTTACCGATGAAATCAGTCAAGACACGGCCATCTGAGAACCGACCAGCAGGTTTGCCTGGAAATGTGATTCCATAGGGAACTTTCCATGAATTTGCTAAAGAATTCCTGTTATTGCCCGTGTCTGCGTACGAGTCTCCAAATACAAAGAGCTTGCTTGGTCTAAAATTGAAGAGAGGACGATGTCTGTGGTGGTGGTGATGGTGGTGGTGAGATGAACCGTACACCCTCGTGTTCTCTGCAACACATAAGTAGTTTTATACAAGTTTTGAAGAGAAAAAACAAGCCCAAGATCATATTCCTTGAAAAAAGAAATCAAAGATATTAAAATGGTTAAAAAAGATAAGAAACATCCATATACCTGAGAGAAGCAAAAGGAAAGAGAAGCAGACAAAGATGTGGAAGAGTAGTTTTTGCTGTTTGTCCATGATAGGACAGCTACAAAACTCAAAACCAAGATGTCACAAGAGTTCAAACTCGCGACAGAGATGATGGGCGGTGGAGAAGGAGATGATGAGGGTGATGTAGAGGTGTACGCCAAAATGAGTCTCGACTGAGGAAAGGGACACGATTATCTCCTTAAGTAGTAGTGGCAGCACACACTGTAGAGGTTTGATTTTTCGTGGTCTTCGTTCTTCTTCAAAATGTTCAGTCCGAACCTCTTTATGACCGCAAAAAACGAGGTTCTCTCAGCAGCTTCATTTTTATTTTTTCTACTTTTCAATCAATTTTTTTCATATTTCTTACAATTTTTATTCCAAGACGCAGAACGTGAATGGAAAGGGGTATTGCAATTTTTATTGAAGTATGCTCTTTCATGCTGTAAATTGAACGGTCTATGGGATTTCAAAAAGGAAGTTAATGGAACTGGTCAATTCTGAGTGCCCCTTTCATCATTTGGATATTGTTCCAACTCTAGACCGTGCACAGGGTGATGATGCCTTGGCTTGACCACCGGATATTTTGATTTGGAAATTCTCTGACTTCGTCCATTAAGATAGCCACTTCGAGAATGTGATATTAATTATAATTTAAATATTTTTTTAAAAAAATATATTAACATCATTTTTAAAAATTATTTTTATATTAGTATATCAAAACAATTGGGTAACATAAAAAAATTAATTTTAAACAAATAAATATTAATTTTTTTAAAAAATAAGATTTCAATTTTATTTTCAAACACACTCTTAATCCATGTATAAAAAAGCAGTGTTTTATAAAAACAAATCTTTTAATTTTTAATTTTTTAAGATTATTTTGATGTGATGTATTTATATTAAAAATAATTTTTTTAAAATTAAAAAATATTTTTATATACTTGAAAGTAAAAAATATTTTAAAAAATAATAATTATTATATTACTAAATACTACATGCATCAAGATATTAGATATGAATTTTTTTTTAAAAATAAGTGTAACTATATGTTACAAAGTAAATGTTTTTTTTTTAAATTTCAGTGATGCCCGATACCTAACAAAGCTGATTCTCTTCCTTGATTCTCGAATTCGAATTTCAGGGCCAGCAGACACAGAATTTATTAACTTTTTTCTGAATATACCACATTGATATGCAAGGTATTTTCTTAATATCGTTAAAAAAAAGACTTAAATATTAATTAATGAGCAAGCTGCCTAGACGACGTTAGAAACCTATCATATTGAGTAGCTTGATAATAGTAAGCCTATTTTTTAAAAAACAAATAATAATTACCACTCTCAAATTATCTTATCTTTAGTCGTGGTTCCCTTATTTTTTTAATTTTATTTTAAGACCGTGCACTTAAAGTTAAATTAAGGGAATAAAGTTTGAAATATTTGATTTTAAAAATTTCCCATTGCCATATTCTCTTAATTTCAAGGTGTTTTTTTTTAATAGATTATCACTAAGAAGAAAGCCTATTTAAAAAAAAAAACAATTGACTTAGTAACCTACTAGTTTATTATAGCTATTTCATTAGGGTTTGGATAAAAAAGTTTTTGGAATGTAAAGTAGTGATATCTAGACCATCATAAATTTTATAGTGCTTTCATTATATTTGGTGTAATGATTTAAATTTAAAAAATTTTAAATTAACTTTTTATATAATTAGAGTTTTAAATTAAATTATATAAAAATTATATCAATATAATTTTGTTGATGGAATGGATAAAAAAAATATATTAGGTTTATTTTATTCAACCCATAAAACTTGTAACCTGAGTTATGGAGTTTACTAAATTAAATTATATTTTTATTTTATTATATGAAAGAAATTACAAATAAATTTATAATAAATTAAATGTTAAATGATAAAATTTAATAAAAACTTAATATTAAAATAAAAATAAAAAACAAAAAACATAAAAAAACTAAATAATCAATGAAAAAAATTATTTGTTTATTAAAAAAAAGCACTAGTGCATGGTCATGAAGAAGAACAATGGGCGTAGGGTAGTTTTTTTTTTTTTTCTAAATAATTAGCCTCATGCAATGTTAAAATAAATAAATAAATAGTTGTATGTAATGTATTTTTATTTAAATAAATCATTAAAAAATAAATTTGGTCAAAGGTAAAGGGGGAAATCGAACCTCCACTTAATCACATCAATATATCAAATAGTCAATTTAATTTAAAAATTTAAAATATTAAATAAAAATTTAAAATATTATTTTTTAACATATCTTTTTAAATAAAAAACTTTTAAATTTAAAACTTAAACATACCTGAATTATATTATGCTTGAATTTTATTATATAAATAAGAATGATAAAATTCAAGTTTATAATTATTAAAATTCTAATATTATATTAAATAACTAATTTTATATAAAAAATTTAAATTATTAAATAAAATTTTAAAATATAATTTATATTATTTTTTAATATAAAATACAACCAAAGTTTATCTTAAACAAAAATTCATCATGTTAGTTGTTGTTGTCCTTAGCCGGCACGCACCTTCCACTCTAAGCTCTTCATAAGCTACGCGTGTTGACCATTAAGCTACAACATGAATTTGTAAATTAAACTATTAAAGTCATATATTAATCTTTTACTGATCATACAATAATTAACAAGAAATAAAATAAGTCGTGTTGACCCTTGGTCTTCATTATGGATCAAATATAAAAATAATTTTTTAAAAAAATTATTTTTAGTCAGTATATTTTTAAAAAAATTTAATATTAAATGGTAAAAAAAAATCAACTTATATTATAATAAACCAAGTGTTAAAATATAAAATAAAAATAAATTAATCACATAAAAACTAATTAAAAACCAAAAATAAATGTGAGCTTACCAAAACCCATGAGTCATGTGACGAAGATGAAAATAAATCTATATATATTAAAAACAAAACTATAAAACCTTTTTTTTTTTTAAATATTGAGTGATGAGATGAAAAAAGAAAATAAGTTTTTTTTTTAAATTGAAGTTTATCCTTCAATATTATGTAGATGGAAGAATGAATTTCATTATATTTTATTTTATTTTTTATGATGTTATCACAATCTTATCACCCGAATAACGAGCTTGATGAGTTAACTTTGTTGACTTAATTTTTTTTTTAATTTTTTTTAATTTTATCATTTAATATTAAATTGATTGAAAATTAGGTTTCGTGATTTATTTTGGTTTGATTTTTATGGTGTTATTCTAGTCTCATGACTTTGGTTACAAGTTTGATGGATTAACATGAATTTACTTAAGTTTTTTTAATCTTTTTTTTTAAATAATTATTTTTTAATTTTATTTTTTTAACATTGAATTGAGATTTATAATTTATTTCAATTTGTTTTATATTGAGAGTTAACCTGGGTTGACCAATATCATTTTTTTTAATCTCATACTTCAAAATTGAGTTTATTGAAAACTAAACTTTATAATTTATTTTATTTTTTTCTATAAATTATCATGATGATCCAACATGCGAATTGACAAGTTAACTTAGGTTGACTCGAATTGATTTAATATATTACTAGTTTAATTTTTATAAAAATATCTTCTTAAATATTTATTATAATTTAAATTATTATTTTACTAGTTACCTAAGTTATATTTAGACTATCAAGTTAACTGGGTGACATTAAAAAAATTGTTAAATATTTTAATTTTTTTTATTGTAAAAAATATTAATAATATTTAAATATTTTTATATTAATTTTTTTTTTGTTTCATGTTGTGAATAAAATCACTAACTGTTTGGTAATCAATTACGTACATAACTTCAAAGTTTTTACAAAAGATATTAAAATAAATTACTTTAAAATATGAAAACACTCTATCCAATCAAAAGTCATGAGCAATATAAGATAAAAATCAAAATCAAAATGTCATAAAATATCATTCTAAGCACTAGCATAAAAACTATACGTTAAGGTAAACTATGCAACATTAGAATTTTTGTGATTTAATGTTTTTTAATGTTATTTTTGTTTTTAAAATAAAATAAGTAATCTTTCATCTCAACTGATGTTCACATTTTAATTGTAAACCTGTGTTTATAAAAATTATTTTCCTTTTTTAAAAGTTAAACAGTTGATTTTAAAAAAATTATCAAGTATTTTTTAATTTGCTTTAAAGCACAGCGCAGGGGACAAATAGGCTATTAACTTGTATGCAAAGACGAGGTACAAGATGGGCAAGCGTGAATTTGGGTAGTGTGGGCCATTGACTTGTAACCTGTTATGGGCTTGAATTTGTCGATGTGGTCTGTTCAGTTGTTTACTTTTCTTTCACAAGATTGTTTAGCTGGCCACAAGGCCTCTTATCTGGGTTTAAAGTGCTCTATGCCGTCTTGAAATTATCTTTTGAAAATCTTCAATATTAGTTTTTTTTTAATATATATTAATTATTTTAATTTCATTTTGAGATCAAATCAATATTTATAAAAAAACAATACTCACCATGCGTGCGGAAATACTGGAAAAAAGTAACTGTATCAATAATTTAACAAATTTTTAGATTTTCAATTAAAATGTTAAATTGAGTTTAGACAGTGAATTTGACTTGGGGTGACCAATTATTTTACAAAAATGGTGGAGATCAAATTTTTTCTTCAACTAGTAGCCCAACCATTGCTATAATTTTTAGATTTACTGATAAACTTTTCTGTTGATATTCATATTTACAATCAACTGACACGAATTTTACTGACAGACTCAAATGAAAATTTAGATGGAAATAATCTATCAAAAAAATTTTCATCGATAATTTGTAGTCTGCTAATAATAATTTTACTAATAGATTTATTGACAAACAAAACATACTAAATTTTTTTTTTTACTTCATTTCATCGGTATTTTCATCAATAGATATAACATATCATTGATAGAAAAATTATATGTCATTTCATCAATGATTTTTTTATTTATTGAATAAAAGACTTTAGTTCATCACAGCAAATAACATATAATTATGTGCTTGTTTGAATTCTATTTATATCAAATATATTTTTCTCACAATATTTTTTGGCACAGGTCATCTAGGATGAGAAAATATTAATAAGTTCTCATTCAAAGGCCCTTCCCCACCGTTGTCATGTCTTGAAACGCTGTTGATTCTTGTTCTAAAGTGAGACTTGAAATAATACAAGATAAATATTGAAATCTCTTCAATAATATAAGCCTCGCATATCGAAGTCTCAACATGTGCATTGTTTTTTACTTTTATTTTTAAAGTTAAATAAGTACCTGCATGAGATTAAATGAATTTTTTAAATTTTTTTTAAAAAG